TCTGAACTCCACCATCCACCAGGCTTTCATATGCTCTCTTCTATTTAATTACAATTAAATCATCCTCACTTAGTGCCAAGCTGGAAACACTTTCAAATAAACACTTTCAACAAGGACAATTCAAAAAAGTAAACATACAGACCAACCTCTCATGAGTATAGATGCAATAATTTTAAAAAAATATTAACAACAACAACAAAAAATCCAGTGAAAGAAGAATACGTTGAGGTCAGGGTGGGATTGTTCCAGAATTGAGGAATTTTTCGAAAAAGTTAAGCCATCACATAAAAGAAAAAATCACCTGGTACAAACTGACAGTCACCAGATGGAAGGAGGGGTGGGGGCCAGGTGAAAAAGGGGAAGGGATTAAGATGTACAAATCACCAGTTATAAAAACAGTCAAAAGGCACAGCATAGGGAATCTAGTCCATAACGTTGTGATAACTATGCTGAGGGCCAAGTGGATAGTAGACTTAGGGGAGGTATCCCTTTGTAAGTTACATAAATATCTAACCACTATGCTGTAGACCTGGAACTAGTAATATTGAATGTCAACTGTAATTGAAAATCTTTTAAGAATTAAAAACAAAAAAGTTAACATAACTTAACTCATGATTTTAAAAGAACTGTTAGCAAACTAAGAATAGGGGATTTTCATATTTTGATAAAAATGCCTACAAAGAAGCTACCTCAAATATCATATATTGCGGTGACAGGACGGAGACCTCCCACCACTTCCATACAGCACTGTCCTGGAAATCTTAGCCAGTACAAGAAAAACAAAACTGGTCGTAGCACCGAGAAAGAAAGCAGTGTAATTTGCAGACACAATTGTGTATGCATAGAAAATACAAGAATTATTATTAGAAATAAGTAGATGTAGCAAGTGGATACACAAAAATCAATTCTATCCCTACATACCAGCAATACACAATTATATAGTTTAATTTATAAAGACATAATTTCTAATGGCATCAAAGATATCAAATACCTATGGATAAATTAAACATGTATTAAACATATATGGGAAACTGTAAAATACTAACACAAGTTAAAGAAGGTCTAAATAAATGGAAGATTATATTGCGTTCATGGCTCATAAGACCAATATTAAAAAGGTGCCATGGCCTGGAAGGTTTGGCTCAGTGATTAGAGCACTGGCCTGCAGACTGAAGGGTCCCGGGTTCGATTCTGGGCAAGGGCATGTATCTCGGTTGCAGGTTTGATCCTGGCCACTGACCAGTCAGGGCACAAGCAGGAGGCAACCAATCGATGTGTCTCTTTCATATCAATGTTTCTCTCCCTCCCCCCCTCTGAAAAGCAATGGGAAAAATATCCTCGGGTGAGGGTTAAAAAATAGTAAGATGTCATTACTCCCCATAATGGTCTACAGATTAAATGCAATCTCAATTAAAATCCCAGCACATTTTCTGGGAGAGACTGCCAAGCAGATCCTAAAGTGTATCTGAAAATACAAAGGGTCAGGATTAGCTATATAATCATGAATCAGAGCAAAGGTAAAGAACTTAAATTACCAGATATCCAGACTGACTAACCTACAGTAATTTAGACAGTGAGCATTTGTGCAAAGATAACCAAAAGATCAAGTGCACCCATACATTTATGGTCCCTTGATTTATGACAGAGGCAATGCTGCAGTGCATGGGGAAGGATGGCCTTCTTAATAAATGACTCGGGCAGGCTGGATATCCATATATTTAAGGGGGGGAAAGGATCTTGGCCCCATCTCACACCATAAACAAAAATCAGTTTCAGCTGGATTACAGAACTAAATGTGAAGGACTAAACAAGAAAGCTTTCACAGGAAATACCTTCATGAACTTCCTATCTTTCAATAAACAAAGAGCATCCCCTGGGCTACATTAAAATGGAAACTTCTGCTGATCAAAAACCAGCACTGAGAGAGTGAAGAGGCAACCACAAGAGAGTAAAGGTCTGCCTCACATGTATGTACTCGATACAGAAGAATTCCTTCAGATCGACAGGAACAAGACAGACAATCGAAAAATTGTCAAAAGACAATCACCTCATAAGAGAAGATACCCCGACAGCCGATAACGCGCAGGAGGCTCTGCCCCTGCCCGGTGACTGGTTGTCAGGGCACAGCACATTCATGGATGAAACCACGTAATAGAGCACCACTGATGGATCAGATGGGGCAGGCGTGTGGTGGTACAAACTGGCAACACCACCACGAGGACAGTGTCTACTGACGCTGATCAAATGCACACCATCACTCGGCAATGTCACTCCTTTAAACACACCCAACTGGAGTGCATACATATCTGCACCCAAAAAACAAGCAAGGATACTCAGAGCAGCATTTGCAAAAATTAGAAAGAATAAGTTACGGTAGGCCTGGCTGGTGTGGCTCAGTCGGTTGGAGCAGCATCCTCTGCACCAGAAGATCAAGGGTTCCATTCCTCGTCAGGGCACGTACCTAGGTTGTGGGATCCATCCCCAGTCCGGGCACATACGGGAGACATCCATCCGATCAATCTCCCTCTCATGTTGATGTTTCTCTCCCTCCCTCCCTCCCTAACATCCATTAACAAAATAAATAAGTTATGACCTATTCATTCATACACTGGGTTACTCGACAGCAGATGAGAATGAACAAAGCTGCATAAGACAATATGCATGGATCTTAGCAACATAATGTTGAATGAAAGAAATCAAGAAACAAAATATATGTATTACTTTACTTCATTTATATAAAGTACAGAACACGCCAAAGTAATCATTGCCACAAGTGAAAACTGTGGTTTTCTACCAATATTTGTTTTATGTATTGGGATTCTGAATACAAGTTTTCTTGAAGAATTCTGTGGTTAAAAAAATTTCAAAACCATTGGAACAAATAAAGTCCTTGCAAAAAAAAAAAAGGTGGTGGGCTTTGGGGGACAGTTATTGGGGGTGGGTAGGAGGAGCACTGGAAAGCTTAGTAATGTTCTGTTTCTTGATCTAGTGGTGGTTACGGGAGTGTGTTCATTTTGTGAAAAATTCAGAGATGTACACTTATGATTTGTAAATTTTCCAGATGTACATTATAATTTAAATTTTTAGAGTCTATATGGTTGCTTCCCTACACAACATGCCAGGAGTACAAATGCACCTACCTAACTCATATGTCTCCTGTCTGGTTCCACTATGAGCCACCAAACGAGACAAATGCCAGGAAAGGGGACCGTCCAAAACACATCTACTGTGTCTCTGAAATGCTGGACTCGGGCGCTCAGGCAGTGAGGTGACCACATGACAGCATCACCTTCTCAAATCAATGAGGCATTTCCAGGTTACCACACTGAGCAGCAGCCAGAAACAGATCACTGAGCAACCGTCTTGCCCACTGGCGCGACAACCCCCGCTGGTGGGAAGGCCCCTACCACGTGAGACTGCGCTGTACAACACTCCTGGTCCCTTCCCTGCTGTGTCCTCGGGCTCCTTCTCTCCAATAACTCCCTCCCCAAATGTGTAAGTATCTGACATGCACTTTGGTATAAGGACCTTAAATTACATGAAATCAAACACAATCACACACACACAAACCACACAACTGAAAAGATTCACAAATACACTAAAATCCTGGCAAAATGTAATCTCACCAATCCTTTTAAGCTTCTGGTAATAAAACCTGACCTAAACAAACTTGGTAATTTAGAGGACTGGAATGAGAAAAAAACATAACGATTCTCTAATCCGAAAAAAAGGGACCATTACAGCACTAACATTAAATTATTGCTGCTAAAAAAGAAATCCAAATGTTGGGCTTATCAATCTTTCAGGAGAGCTGACGAAAGCCAAGAAGCACATTAAGGCCAGTAATTATTCATCTGCTAATTCAGCGCTGCAGACCCACCGTGGGAGCACCAGTGTGCGCGCTCAGGGCACCTGGAAGCACCATCTAGGTGGCTATTATGAATAAAACGGCACCCAGACGGCTCCTAACACCCAGGGAGCCTGCCTATCTCCCAGGAGGCCCTCTGCCTTTCACCTCACATTCCAGTTGACATTTTCTCCCTTCACCTATCATTAAATCCTCACTCAGCTCCATAATACAAGGGTTTGAAACACTGGTCCAAACGAAACACTTAAACGAGCCACTGCAGTGTGATTCTGAGCTTTACAATTCTCGTCTGCCAAGAAGAGAGTTCCAAAGGAACCCATGTCTAGTCTTTTATTTCCTAGAACAAATTTCATTCACAAAACACAGGTGTCCTGACAAAGGTGGACGGTAAAAGTATTTATCCTGTGAAACCAATCCTGTTTGTCCACCCAATTTCATAAGGAAATTGGAAATACAGGATATAATCCATGGGGAACACACATTTAGCAAGAAACAGCTGAGGACACGAGATCTAAAGGCACCACACAAGCCCTGGCCAGTTTGGCTCAGTGGTTAGACCATCGGCCTGTGGACTAAAAGGGTCTCGGGCCCAATTCCAGCCAAGGGCACGCACCTCGGTTGCAGGCTCAATCCCTGGCCCCAGTCAGGGCTCGTGAAGGAGGCAACCAGTTGTGTCTCTCTCACATCGATGTCTCTTGTCTTTGTCTCTCTCTCTCTCTCTCTCTCCCCCTTCCACTGTCTCTAAAAAGCAATGGAAAAAATGTCCTCCGGAGAAGATTTAAAAAAACCAAAAATAAACCGCGCCACACAGCTTGGCTGTTTTGAGGCCCTTTTCAAACGCTCTGGAGCACGACACCACGTCCAGGCGGTTCCTCCTGCCCCAAAGGAAGGAACAAGTGGTGAGGTGTTTTCACCTGACTTCAGAAGAGCACAGAGTCTGTCCTTCCAGAGAAGTTTAATCCTCAGGAACCGGATCTCTATCTGCCTTTCAAATACCAGAACCACATCAGCTCACAGCTGGTTACGCAAAATACTCGTCTAAAAATACCAGCGCCATCCAGACCACACGATGGAAAAGACGCCACTGGGTGGAAACACATCTGCAAAACCTGGTGGGGGAAAGGGCCCGTACCTGTGGAAGCGCAGTGTTGAGCTGCCTCTGCAAGGAGTCTCGCTCGTGACCGACCTCGTGTAACTTCCCCTGGGTTAATGCCAGCGTCTCCTGGGTCTCTCTCAGCGTCTCCAGGAGGCGGTCCTTCTCCTCCAGCATGGACACCATCAACTGTTCGAAATGCGAATCTGCGTCCGGCTGGGACGGCGAGCCGGACCCATGGCTCCCGCTTCCTCCCGGGGGCCCTTCTGCTTCACTGATGGTTGGCATCACCTCGCACATCATCTGGAAAGAAGAGACCCGGACTGCAGTCAGCACCTGTGGGAAACGGCTCCCACGGAGCCCCCACTTCAGAGCTGCCGGTGGTTAATAAATGAAAAGCCCACAGCCTGGCTCCCAGGTCCGAATGCTGCTCTCTGCACATCATAAACGGGGCACACACAGCCGGGCAAACCGGGGCCACGAGGCGAAGACATCAACAGCAGCCCGCAGAGAACACAAAGAGCAAGCCCTCGCTGTTTTGTTTGCAAAGCGGTACTTTCTACATGTTGAAAACAAGTGTGCTTCTGTAACCTATTTTTTTCTTCTTCTTCTTCCCATTTCCCGGCAGGGGAGAGAAAGTGGACACGCGCCCGCCACCCGGCCCGTCTGGGGGACAGCGCAGCGGGGCGCCCAGCCGGGAAGCCCGCGGGGTTCCAGGCGCAGAGAC